ACAGACAATTTATTACACAAATAATAAGCATTCTGCAATTCTGCACATGAAGAATCATTTTTTGTAATGAAGCTCTGTTTTGATTCATCTGTCGTTGCGCATTATTCAAAAATAGTTAAAAAATATTATATGTAATAAACATATTGTTTTACAGGTGATATTGTACTTTTAAAGTGAAGTTTGATCTATGAGTTTATTAAAATACCATTAATAAACTATTTCTTATGTCATTTCATTTCATTAAGGTATTTTAATAATTTCATTAGTTGAATTACACTTGTAATGTGCAATTCGGCTTGTAAAACATGAATTCCTAAACATATTAAGGATATTTCTCCCTATGGGGATCAACTGTTGGAGCTGAAGACATAAGCAGGGAAGCAGACTTCCTAAAAGGGGATGTATCATGTATGACTATCTATCCCTATCGTATAGTTATATAACTCAAAATGCTCCACAAAAAGAACAAAGAATATATGTAACCTGAACATTTTAAGGTTTAGAGAGCGTATTAGAAATACACATTCTGAACTAACCTATGTATTTACATGAACAAAATACCATATTTCACACTGCGGCAAGCAAAAGTGAGGCAATTAGAAAGGATGCAGACCTGGCTTTTGTAAAGATTTTTATTGAGGACATCTTGTAAAGACCAAGAAAACACCGTATTGATCAAACTCGTCTTAGCCGCAATCTTGTCCATGACTGCAACTTCAGTGCTTCCTCCTTTCAGTGGAAGGAGGGAAGGAAGGAAGGAATCCACGGAAAGGGCTTAACCAGTAAATTAATGGATGCAGAGATAGAGAATTTTGGAGTGTGAGAGGAGTGTGAAAGGTCTGGCTTTTAGCCTCCTTAGTCTTCTTGGGCTGTCACGGTTTCCAATGAATGAATTAAAGACATGAGATTAGAAATGGGAGGAGACTTGGAGGAGACTCTGATAATTTAGCTTCCTTAAGGCCTAAGCGTACGTCATGCATGCACTTTTCGTATTTTCTTTCTCTTCTTCTTTAAGTTTTCGTTTTCAGACTTTTACTAACAATGATAAATAACCAATGATGCCTGATTTTATTGAATTTTAATGCAAT